GTTAGCTGTGCCACTTGCTAAGCTTCTCATTACCGCATCACTCCTAAATAGCTTTTGAGTAAACTAACAAATTAAACCTTAAAAACTGAACTTAGCTCCTTGCAAACTCAGTTTACGCCTTTTCTGAAGCAGCCCCTCCTTCCAATACCACTAGCATTTTCGAAAAAAAATTACCAAGTTTTAAACTAGTAAACAAGGTTAGCCATTGAAAGAAGTAACATTTATCAGACGCTAACAAACAGCATCAAAACCAGCAGACTGTAGTAACAGTAATAGCAATGATGGCAACAACAACGGCAAAATCAACGATAGCAAATATTTAGTTTAATGGTAAACCTTGTAATTGAAAAAAGAAGAAACTTCAACTCTGTATAAACATTGGCGCCGATACAGGATTACCGATTGCTCGCAAACAAAAGTCATCTTTTGTCTCTAACTATTCTCCCGGCTTACTCACCACCTCTTCCCTCTGTCTTCGCTTTCCGCCAATGATACCCGATTTTTTAGAAATACTAAAAAATTTTCAACAATAACATTTACTGTCTATGTCAAGAAGAAAAAAGTTGTTTAGTTTTTTTAAATTTATTATAATAGATCTAAAGAAAAGTTTTATACGTCTTAAGTTTTCATTTTCTCCTAAATAATCAGTGCATTTCCAAATGACTCTGCATGGAAAAAAATCAACATAAAATAATCAAATAACCTTTGAGCACAACCTTTGACAACAAAATTTATCTTCACTACCGTGTACAACAACTGTTCTGTCAAGAAACCACGCTTTTCCACAAACATTCCTCTAACTAACCTCGTGTAGCCGCTGCTTTCATTAAAACAAATCAACCTGAATCCTTTTCATTCGTGATTAATATTTTGATTTTATTGTTTCAATGTCCAGTAACCTTACTGCTTGAAGATACCAAAAACTTCCGTTTTTTTGCTAAAAAAATTAATTTTTTTCCCATCATTCCTTACATAACCGCAAATAAAGTGAAAAACGAGTCACTATTTACTTTCTTTACGTTCGTATTAGTCAAAGAAACGGTTATCTTCTCAGTGAACCCTATTACCCTCAAATTTATTTGTGCAATTCCTAATCCATGAAGTATTTTCAACTTCAACTTATGAGCCAAACCTTTGCGAATAATGTATCTCTTTCTTATCTTTTGAAAAGTAAAACAATTCAAGCAGTTTAAAACTTCTCATCCAGGAGAGATGAATGTCTGGTGACTTGATTAACTGGAATGCTGCATCAAACCCATCACCATACGATTTAAAATACTAAACGATGTTCAAGAACAAGCGACCAACTGTCGTCTTCCAATTACTGAAGAAACTACAGTTTGAAAATTCGCAGTTATTTTGTCTTTTCCAAGTGATTTAAAACCTAGCAGATTTCAAGCCCATTCGCACACTAGGACGAAAATCTCGTGCCTCTACCGACTAAAACTTTTGAACCCATACTATGTCGCGCCACTTTTTTCTGACGTTTTACTTGATGGGCAGTTTCCTGCTTGTAGAGGAACCTAATATAAACACTTCCAGAAGCAAATAAAAAAATCACTGTTTAGCCAACTTTTTTGCCAATAGGTCCAGTCCTCTAGTCGTCTCAACAACTATCCATATACATACATTTACTTGTTTGCTACTCAAACAATATTGCTTAAGGCTTAAAAGCCGATAACAATCAACTGTAGAAGGTAAGCCCCAACCCAGGAACTTCAAAATGGTTACTTAGTCTAGCGCAACTGGCTGCGCAAAAATGTAAAAAAACTATGCCACTACTTCTGTATTTCTACTTCTTAAAGTACGTTTGCTATAAGAAAAATCCTAAAACAGTTAGTAAAATTCTTCTAAAAAATCTTTTTACTCTCCATCATTTCTAAGAAAAAACAACAATTTATCCATAACGCTATTAGTCATTCAACTTCACAAATTTAAAGCAATCAAATGTTAATCTTCAAGACAACAGGAAACCAATTTGACGGTTAAAATGAGCAAAGGAACAGTTCAACAACATGCAAATTGCTTTGAAAAATTATTCATTGCTCTGTCATTTCAACGTCATTGTTCAAATCTAAATCTTCCAACATTTCTTCTAAAGATGGACCTGCTGGTATGTCCTCCTCTTCAACATTGACTGCAACATATTCTTTTACCTTATCTCGATATATATTAATTTTCTCCCTCATTTGTTCGTCTTCTTCCAAATCCTCCATAAATTCCTTTAAAAAAAAAGTGATCAAAGTACAAAGTAGATAAAGAAATGAAGGCTGCTTTCAGACCAAACAGTGAACAGAACAAGTCCCGCAGCGTTTCTATATGCTATGACGTAAGAAAATTTATAAAAAAAAAAGTTACTGCGAAATCACTGTTGTACAACTCCGCCGCTTGAAAAGGTTTAAAAAAATGTAGAATATGAATTATCTATACGAAAAAATTAGAAAAGAGGATAATAAACGACAGTCAAACAGTCTAAGAGAAAGGTAAAAAATCTGAATTCCACAAAAAAATCCTCAAAATAATCAACATCTTTGCTGATTAACAAGCAAATAAAAAAAAGAACTAGTTTATCGAAGTTACTTCGGACTGAAGGAGTAACTCTGAACAAACACAGGCATGAAAACTTTTACTACACATACCAACACACAATTCTAAACCTTATTCAAGAACTCTGATTCGTGACCTTTGCATCTATCAGCCAAGAGCCAATCGTAAATAATAAAAAGTACCTCATAAGTGTTTTCAACAGACGCGGAATCCGAAATTTCTTTTCCGCCAACAACCATCCTCTTCAGTTTCCAAGCACGTCTTTTCCGTCTCAAAGTTTTGTCAAAGACTTTCTTAACAAGTATCACGTCCGGAATTCTTTCAGGTTTCATCCCATCAAGGATAGCATTATTTATATTACTATTTCTTAAATCGAAGCCTGGAACACGAAGAGTGTAGGATAAATGAAACATTAATTTCTCGATAAATAACTTGTATAAAAAAT